CTTAAATGACTAGTCTTTAAACAGGACTTAAAATATATTTTTCGGAGTATATTAATTTAAACTACAACACAATAAATCCAATCTGTGTTAAAATGTCCTTTTTAAAACAACAAACAAAAACAAAACACCACACCTGACATGAATCTTCCACCTCTGGATCCTCCACCACATTATCTGGGCTCGCTGGCTGGTCTTTATCATTCTCTATTGGTCTAAACAGCACCTTTTTCATCTCTCTGTCCCGGATGTCTGGGCTTGCCGCGCTGATCAGCATCTTCAGGTTAGCCGTTGGTGTCCAGGGTTCGGTCAGAGACGTGTGTTTGATGGGGGTAATGTGGGTGAGCTCAGAGGGAGCACCTTTTCTGTTGATCAGCAAAGTAGGAAGGGTGGACTCTGCAGATTTTAGCGGTGTTGATTTTCTCTTCTCTGCACACATGTTCTCCTGTGATGGAGACAGTTATGTGATCGAATTAGTGCAGGTTTTCCTTAATAAAGGCTCAAATATCCTCTCATACAGAATGAATTGCAAAGGGGTCATTTTATAGCAAAGAATGATGAAAGGAAAACATGTAATCCTGGTTGAGTTTATTCATACCAACTCATCCACTATATAAACACACATCTCCAAAGATCCGAATAAGCCACCCATATGCTGAGACCGGAGGCCTGCTCCTGAATCTGGAGGAATCAAGCAACTCACACTGATTTGTACAACCCTCAAGATCTTATTTAGCACTGTAGCCCACAGCCCTTGCTGCTGAAAGCCAAAACTTAAGCTCTTCAGAAGCTCTCACGTGACTGAACACAGCGCTCTGATTTCAAAGCTTTCTTTCAGATGAATCTTATAAGACCTGCATCACCTGATTTAAAGCAGGGTGCCACCTTAGCCTACCTTTTGTTCCCCGCGAGCCCCATCCTCCTCCTCCTCCGGCCCCACCGTTGAACTCTTCCTTGGACTTGAGAGGTCTTTCAGTGCGAGGCATTGAACCTCCATCTGGGAAAAATGCGTTCCAAAGTAAAGACAAATATTGAGAATGGGAATTGTAAAGTTACACTTAAAAGTAAACCCAGATCCGTGGTCATCTGAATTTGGCGCAAAGAGCATCGGCTAACTAGCCTTCATAAAGCTAACTGCGCTGCTCTTCCTCAACCCTCAACCCTGTAACTTTACAGCTGAAGTGCCGCATTAACTTTTTAGCTGACAGTAATAAGTTTACAGCTACAGGTATTAATATACAACGTTAGTAGAATGTTATTTCTAAGCTGCGATACGAGTTGCGGCCGTAAATTATTTTATGCAAATGGGTCCACAGCTTTAGCCGTTGCTGAGCCTGTGAATAGAGGTAAATGCGTTTCTGATGGATATTATTAGTCAGTAAGACTTAGCATTAATTAGTTACCTAGCCAGGGACACTATTATAGCTGTGTTGCAGAAATCAGAAACCCTCCGGAGGGAAATCACCACTCTTTACCTTCGCTGTTGAATGAATGAAATCGTCAAGTGTGGCTCTGCGTCCCCGTTTTACACACTTGTCAGGG